GCCACCATTTTTCCAGAATTTACTGTTATTATTTTTCTATTGTTTTTCACATTGATGATTATTCCTACGGGCACATCATTGGCGCCAGTAGCTGACATCAGCTTCCGAAAAATGTAGACTTTTTCAGTTTTACGTTTACGTTTACTGGATTTATAAATTTGTCGCATTTCACATTTTGTTTTTTCCCCCCATTAAAGGCTCAATATATTTTGCTATGCTGCTTCGTTTTTATTGAATTGAAATTTTTGGCTTACGTCATTGTTGAAAAAGTATCTACAGCATCACGTTTCATTCATACATACCATACCAGCATTGTATTGCTGGTACAGTTGTATCTACAGATACAGAGAGACGCTTCGAGTAGAGAGGCAGAGTACAGGCACTGTTGTGCATTGCCACAACAGTGTTTTTGTTATGCCCCAGATTTTTGTGGAGCAACGGTAGTGAATGTATCTACAAACGTGTATTACATAGAGTACCAAAGCTTCAAACAATACAATTCTTAAGTATTAATGTTTATGAGAGATGTATGTGTATGATTCTTATTTGTTTTTCACATGTATCCACTGTTAGCATATCTGCGGCATTTAAGGCATTAACCGAAATTCTGTATACTTTCACTTTTGTTTGTGTTTTGCATTGAAATATGCAAAATACGTGTTGGCATTTGTTTTCCATTTTTGTGTTTAAATTTTAATTTCCATTTTATTGAATGCATTTATCCATTTTCTACTCTAAACTTTTTATTTAGTTTTGCACAAAAGAACAATTAAATTTCTGTGTGCAGTGAAATAACTTTCAATTTTATTTCATTTTTTGTCTAGAAGTTGGTAATAAAAATTTTTGCACGCTTGTGTGCTTAACATTTATTGTATTTTAATAGAACAATTGTTTTTCCATCTGAGTTAGGAAAATTCTCAAAAAGTTTTCTAAAAATATGTTTTCCTTTCAATAGCTGGATTTTAGACATAGGCCCCCTCTCTAAGTACTCTGAAATTTTTATTAAATGCTTCTTTATATTACAAATTTTTTTTAAAAAATAAACATTTTTGAAGTTTATAGATGTTTATAACTGGTAAACGTCTCTTTTTTAAGAATGATTTTCTTTTCTAAGAAAGATGTTGGGATAATTAAAGATGTTGGTATGTTCTAACTACAGTAGCGATTATCGTTATAATCTCCCTGAGTGTGAAATATGGATTGAGGATCCAAAAACTACTTAATCTGAGAATTTGTATCTGAAACCATTGAGTATAAACTTTTGTTGTTACTGTTTTCTTTACTTAAAACATTTCTGATGGCGAACGATTGATCAAGAATATAGCAACCAGTTCATTTGTAGAATCTGATGCCTTGATGTTCTGTTGTTAGTATAACCTTTGATGTTATAACCAGTGTAAGTATAATTCATGTTGTTATAATACTATTATTGAGAAGAGTTACATTTTACCGGAATGTTGAGTGATATTTGGTTGTTATAGATATGTAAACATTGTATTATGTTTTTTAACATATAATATCTATGATAATAATATAATTTTACCCTATTAATCAAAATTTATTTTGAATTATTTTATCAACTGTTATCGCTACACTTATGGGGTAAGGTATCCTTCTGCAGTAGAACAGAGTTGGACTGCGTTATCACCTTAACAAAATGGGTCTGTCTGAAGTGATAGATTGTCACCTCTGCAGACGAGACTTCCAGTCATATTCTCTCTGACTGCCCAGCCTTGATTTGGGCCAAGAGGAGGTCGAGAACTACTTTCTCCTTCTGACATTAGGAGGTCCTCAACTGATGACATTCTGGCTTTCATTTGGAAGGCGGAATGTCTTCTGCTCAGGATTTCTTGCAGCACAAAATATCAACCATGTTCGTTGTGGTCCGCTCCGTTGGTAGCTGGTACCCTGTTGATTCCTTTATATATTGCGAACAACTTCGAATAAAGTTTCGTATGTCTGTTCGCATGCGAAATTCTGAGGTTCCAAGCGGTTAGTAAACTAGTACTCTGTTTTTAGCGTCCACAATGTAATTATAAAAATAATTTTATTATAAAATGTTATCGTTTGAGTGGTATTATTAGTTCTTTTTGCATTGTGCATATATGTTTTTTCGTTTGATAATTAAGCTACCACTCCACGTATTTGAACCAACATAGTACTATGTTTAAAATTGAAACTCTTTAATGTACTGGATAAGTACTGAATTTGAGTTTTTTTAATTTTTTTAGATGTATTTTAATATTTGCCAAATTTAAAATAAATCTAAATATTTTTGTTATTTGCTTTGAATGTACATAAAACAAAAATCTTTAGAAGTTTTGAATCTGGTGATTATTTTAAAAATACTGAAAGCTAATTTTCAATTGATTTAATTATTTTTATTTCATAAAACAGTGGCACAAATAAATTTTTTATTTTATTTTAGTTGGAAATATTTCTTTAAAACTTACTCGAAAAGATCACTTTTTTTTTTGAAAAGTACTCTGTGAAGATCACAGTAGGTTAATTTAATTATAAAATAAAAATTTAATTATTTTTTTTTTGACCAAAAATCCATTTTATAATTGTTAAACTTAATTTTATGTGGAGTTGTGGTCTACGATCAGTTCAAAAATTTTTTAAGAAATGAAAAAAAAAATGATAAGAAAACCAAATTAATATTCTACGCTTAATAAATTTAATTTTGAATAAATTTTTTTTTGTTACCAAAAAAATATTTTTGCAAGTACTGAACTTGACAGTTTCAAAAAAAAAAAAAAATTATAAAATTTCGCATGTTAATAATAATAAAACAATTATAAAAATCAGTGAATTGTGAAATATTTTCAGTTATTCATAGTTAAATTTTTTTATCATTAATTTGTTATTTCCACATTTACACTGTAATTTAATGCAATTTATAAAAGTACAAGTTCAGAAAGTTTTTTTAATAAATCTATCTGTTTGTTTGTTATACTCGTATGCAATTTTAAAATTAGCAAAATGCATTCAAATAAATTTTTATACTGTTTTTTTTTTTTGTTTTCTATATAAGAAAAAATTACTATCGTATGATATTTGAATTTGCATAACAAAACGAATAAAAATTTTAATAAAATTTATAAGCAAATACAATTTATGAGCAAATAAGATTTATAAAATTTTTACTAAAGGTAATAATAAGTTATTACTACATATACGTTAAGGAATTCAAGGTAATAAGTATAAAAGAGATATTTTTATATATTTATTTAGGGGCTATATTGTAGGTATATAGAAGGAAAAAATAATATCACTAATCAACTTTAGTCTCGGCTGGCAAAGTCCAAACAGTCAGAATGCACTGCATCGAAAAATAGAATTCATACTCAAGATATTTTACTATTCTTAAAAAAGTACAAAATATCCCATAAAGGAACGACTATCACATATCAAAAATATTCAGATACTGTATACCGAAAAGAGTGCAAATATAACTCTTCTTACATCAATATTAAAATCACACAATCCAAAGCAAAGAAAACAAGGTTGGGTTTCAAATTTACTCAAACATAAAGGGTGACATACATAATACCAGATTCTGCAATTATTTTAAATGGCTGTGGATGCGCTAAAAATGTTATGAACGTATTATTAAAAAGATATATAATAAAAACTGATACAAGATTATTCAACGCCTCACATTCTCTCTATACCTTTATACATCGTGTTTGGCGCCTGGATATTAGGACATTGTGACTGTGACTACCAATATAAACACTTGTAGATGACTATCACTCATTATTGCAGTCATGCACAATATTAGTTATTTTTTAGATGCTCACATATCAATCAATCTATCTCTATATAACTATTAGATAGGATTTTGACTAATGAGCGGAGGAATTTCTAAGAGGAAAGTTTACCAAGCTTTCACCTACTGTGGAAAACCGGTAATAAGATTCTGTAAGACCACAAATAATTATCTAAAATTGAATCTTCTTGATATGATATGAATCTTGACGAAATTCTCAAACAAAATTTCTTAATGTAATCAAAGAAGCTCTTGAATTAGAAATGCATGTATTACAATAACCCATTTTACTTAATAAAAATTAAATCACTAGTAGAACCCATAAATGGTCTACTTTAAGTTTGATATACAGATTTACTATTAAAATTTAAGACTATATATTTATACTATATATTTCAAATATCTGAAGAAAGTTTTCATTGGAATTAATAAGTTATTATAAATATACTAATCAGAACCTTTCGTAATAACCTTGGTAGTGAGTTGATGTTTCTCCAACACATGTACAGTAGCATCGTTGCTACTATTAGTATCACGCAGTAAGCTGTTCAATATTGTTTGCGAGATAACCTCAAATAATTGGTCTGGTTCAAGATTTGGTTTCCACAACATTTCAGATAATGAATATGCCTGACAGTTGGGACTTCCACATATAATGTAATCCGGTGGATAGCTTAGACAACCAAGTAAATCCATACCACATATAAGAGGTTCACCTGTGATTGAATTAAGTCCGGCTATGATAGTCTCAACATAAAAGGGTTCAAAACGATATTCATATAAGAAATTTGATGTAAGATTGGCAAAACCTTCAACTGTCATTTTTCGTATTTGATCGCATTCAAAAGACTTCTTACGATTAAGAACAGTATTACGAACTCTCAAAATATCTGCTTGCAGTCCAATCAATCCCATAAATAGTTTTTGATCAACGCGAAATATTTTTTCAAAATGTACCGGCATCACATGGTCAGATGTACCCAAATGATGATCCGTAGCTATGGCTACGCAATCCTTGCCGTACATGGCAACTACACAGCCGCTAGCATAGTCTAGTAACGCCATTATTTTGATATTTTATCACTTAAAAGTAAAATTTTTTTTTATAAGTTTTGAATTCTTAAAAATTTTATTAATTTAAATATACAGTCTTTGTTAACTTTGATAAAAATGAAGTAATTAACTTCAATGCTGTATTGAATATATGTATTTTTTTAATTAATTACAAGTGGAACATGAAGTTAATTAGGGCATGTTCAGCTCTTGGCTTTTAACCCTAACTAATTGAGAAATGTTATAATAAAGTATTTGTGAATTAAAATGAACAAAGGCAAACTATGGGAAATAGAACTCCATGGTAAAATTTCACAGACCAACTTGTTTCGCAACAAGTTGAGTTAAGTATAACCTAACTAAGAATAGACTAATGTGACATATTATATTAGTAAATTTGGTTAGGAATTAAATCCAACTTATTTCAGACAGAAATTATAGAACGAACAAATGAATAATATTTTTTTTGCAGTTAACTGGTCTGTAGAACCAAGTCCCATCAGAAGTATATTATATATGTAGCTACACACACAGTTCTTAATTGGCAAACCTTTATCTTATTTTCCTCAGTTATAAAAATCTGAATCCTGTTGTAACATAATTGCTGTGAAATTACTGTTCCCAATAGAAAGTTGTCTTAGGCAACTATGAAACCTCTCTTACAAACTTCCTGCTGTCTTTCTCTCCTCGTGGAGCATAGGGCGGCTTTCTCAGATAACGCGAAGAGACTAGGGAGGGACATTTTTTAAATATATGAATTATATGGCATTTTTATTTCGGGTATAAAATTAGCTTATGATTTCAAACATAAGTTACCTACAATTGGGATAGATAATCGAAAAATGCGTTTATATTAATACTAGTAGATGACCCGGCGAACTCTGTTCCGCCTTAAAGGCAATAAATAAGCAGTTTTTTTTTAATTGGAAAAAATACCTACATTAATCATTCATAATTTATTTGTGTATTTTAGTACACATCGCAAATTATCTATTTGTTGACCTCTGTTGTTCGCTCGACCTTCAGTCCTTAAATTTGCAGTATTTCGTATTCTTCTTGCATTACGGCTTTGTCGGGAAAGATTCGATCGTCTTGGTCGCGGCATTATTAAAAAACTAAAAACTCAAATTTTCAACCATACCATACATTATAATTGTTAATTATTTATTTTGTTGAGTTTGCAACAACCAGGTAGTTTTATTGATTAAAAACGATATTTATTGCAACACAAACTTATATTGATCTAATACAACTTTTAAAAACACATTAACTAAGTTATATTTCTATCTGTTAAATTTTAATAAAATATTTTAATAAAGTATTAGTATTGCTGTTAAGCTAGACTTACTTTGTATAGGGACAAAGAAGCTTTATTAAATTTTAGAGGAATTTTTAGAATAACATAGCATAGCTTCTTTGTAAAAGCACCAGAATGGTCGCTTTACATATAGTAAGTAAAAAATATGCATTACAAAATGTCTCTACAAAAAGAGTATCTTTGAAAAGAAATAAAGAATTGGCAAACCCCAAAAGTTAAACTTTCAATTCGTTGAACTTGTGTTTCCAAAATAAAGCTGTAGTTTATAAGCTCGTTCTAATTTAAAAGCACGGCAAGTGCTTTGGTTGTTGTCACTAATTAAATAAAAATAAGTGACAATAAAACCTGGAACTTGAGCATTGAAAGTTTGTGCAGCCTTGGCTTCTTGTGGATAAACACGATAAGTCATCGCTTCTAATTTGACAGGCACGAGTTCTAAGCCGGCACTTGCAGTCCAAACAAATTATATACGGACTATAAACTAATTAAATAAAATTCGATTATTTCTAAAGACCACTGATGAAGAGTACTTGGCAATACTCGAAACAGCGTTGTATGGTCAGCCGAACTTCAATAAAATTAAAAATAAATTTTTGTGTTTGTACTTTATTTCTTTCTTTGCTATTCGAAAATTCCAATAAAATATTTTCTTATATCAAAAATTTGATAATTTCAAAACCTACTTTGTCGTGAACGGGATAAACAGGTATCCTATGTCCTTCTCCTGGCCTTAAACTACCTCCCTGCCAATTTTCAGCTAAATCGGTTCAGCCTATATCCTTCTCCTGGCCTTAAACTACCTCCCTGCCAATTTTCAGCTAAATCGGTTCAGCCGTTCTTGAGTTATAAGTGGTGTAACAAAAACACATCTTTCT